TTTTTTTTTTAGCTGTATTTCTGGAATAAGTTTGAGTTCTGCTCGTGTATGATTAAATTTGCCAACTTTTGTTTTGATTTTGTGAATTTTCGATTGCCCAAATTTTCTAATTCTTTATTCATCATTTCTTAGTGCAATTTTCTTTGTTTCTTCGGTTTGATTCAATTTTGGAAATTCCATTCTTTTCGGAGCCTCTCTACATTGATGATCTAGAAATGATCCTTGAGGAATCTCTGCTTTCTTTGAATACAATGGCTGAGGATGGCAGCATTATTTCTTCTTTGGATTGGTTTAAGGCTTGTTGATAAATGAAGGGTTGCCTTCTCAACTTTAACAGCAAGTAATTGTATTCAAGAATATGGAGACCTTGTTTCCAAGGGTTATCAAGGAATTGAATTGAACTACAATTTCTAGTTTTGTATGGTATTGATTTTTCTGTTCATCTTGAGCTTTTTCGATGAATTATAGGTATATCCTCGGCAGTTCTGATTTTTGATTTATAGGGATGCTTTTCAGACATCATTGCTAGAGACCAGATTCTTTGGAATAACTAGAATGCTTTTTGTAGTCATGATTTCCTGAATGAATTATTTCAGGGAGGAACATATATAACTTGTAGAACTATCTTGGTTTCGACCATTTGATAATGAACTCGGGATTTTAGGCTCAGAGCCAATCTCGAAGTTAAATTCATGCATATGGTGATCGCATCTCAGTTTTTCTATTGTACAGTTTCATTCTATCTAGTCCTGCTAACTTTTCAAGTTTGCAACTAGTTTTGGAAGGGGTTCAGGTTTTTGTTTTTAGTGTCCTTTCTTCATGAAGGATAATAGATTTTCTAAAACCCTCTGTAGGTAGCAGAAAAGTTGATGATTATGCATGAAGAATGTTTGGAAAGTAATTATCAGTCTATTGAAAAAATGAGGGCAGCCAATCGTCCACCAGTTACTCACTTCAGACAGGTAATTTTTGGTTCAAACTCTGCTTAGAGAATTGTGTTGACTACCTGTTGATGAAGACAATCTCTACTGGTTTATCCTTTATATGTTTCGACTTTTGGCTGTGTTTTCACTAGCAATTTTGATATTGATTAAACAGTAAATCCATTTCTGGGAGCTTGTGGATTTTAATTATTACATAGTATACTGAGGCACTGCAACGCAAAAGATCATGACTTTTCTTTGTTTTTTGTCCCAAAATGTAATGCAGAAGCTAACAGGAAACTAGCAGTGGGCAAAAGTTTATGGTTTCGAAATGATTTTCTTTGTCTTAAATTTATGTTTCTTATTTTATATTCCTTCCTTATTCTAGTTTAATGAGGAGGATGAGGATGACGAAAATGATGGCATGGGTGAGGATAACACAACAAACATGATGGTAGATTTGCCAAAGCCCCGGCCAATTTCAAATGTAGTTGATACGTCAACTGATGAACCAAAAACCAAGCAGAAGGCAGAAGCTGCAGATGATGGTTGGGTAGTGGTTTCTTCTAAACGAAATAAGGGAAGAAAAAATTAGGTTGCCTCTTTAATTACCATATACATTTCCCTCTTGTTTTTATGAAACGACATGTATTTCGTTTGATATCTATTTATTAATATATTTGTTCCTCTCTTTTGCTAAATACCCTTTCTATTCATCAGTCTTTCTTTGGTTCTTGACTAGTTCCCCAGTGCCGCTGTTTTGATTCAAAATGCAATTGGATGTAGAATATTTTCAAATAAATTGCCAAAACCTGAGCGTTTGTTCCAATAAAAATTAGTAAAGGAGAGGGAAGGGAGAGGAAGGAAAGGGAAGGGAAGGAATGAGAAGTGAAGAGAAAGAAATAATTAATATTAATTTTGTTTAAATAGGTAAAAGGAAAGGAGAAAAAAAGATAATATTTTTATTTAATTAAATAAATTTCTAAAAATAAAATAAAATAAAATATTTAAAATTTATTAATTAAAAAAATTGATATAAAATATATTTATGTATTTATTTTTTAAAAAAAAATTAAAAAAGAAATGTATAACACCAATCCCACTAAATCTCTCCATGAGGGATTAAAAACAGCAGTATCTCTCCCTTCTTCGACGAGTGAATATTGCAATAGTAGTTGTTTGATTTACCTCCTCTTCTCCTTCCCATCCTATTATTTCCTCCATCTCCTCGCCACACGTATTCTGTATTCCTCCAGAACAAACTAAAACGGGTGTCCAACTTGTCATGTCCACTTCAATTCCCCAGGGCCACGGAAACTACTATTCTTCAGAAAACCAGAAGGTTCAGGCTTCCAGCTTGTATATATTAACACGTAAAGCATCTCCTAGGGGAGGAGGGGAAGAGATGTCACCGGTGACAAAAGCAACGAAGGCGAAAGTAGAGGTTTATTACGGTGGCGAAACATGCAGCGAGAAATTCGCTCTGTTGTTGGCAGAAATGGGGTCCCCGCGCTGCCTGCTGACGGTGCTGGACATACAGGAGTGCGGGTACGTGAAGGACACGGGGTTTGTTGTTTAGCTCCTGCACAAGAAGAATAGGGAATATTACAAGTTTGAGGACACAGTCATCAATTGTGATGCTGTGATTACGGCATATTTTCAGCCTAACAAGATTAAGAATTTGACTGGCGTGAAGGGCAGGGAGTTCTTGATTTGGATCAATTTGACTGAAATTTGTGGGGAGGAAGGAGATGATTCTTTGGCCTGTTTGTCCAAGTCTTTTCCATTGTCTTTGTCTGGAGGAATCAGAGCTCAAACATTGGTTTTCAGAGAGGAAGTTGATGGATCAAACGAGGGAAACTGGTGCAACAAATTGAAGTTGTTGGGGTTTTCTTGGGAAAGGGTGGAGAGAGGACTTGGAGGAGAAGGAGACAGCCGGAGTTCTCTCTTTTTTTATGAGGTGAAAACTCATTTTCTTCTATTGATATTCTGCTATAAATAGCAAAAATTATACAATACAAAACAATATTTTTCTTACATAATATTTACCTAATACAAGAAAATCTATCAAACATTTAAAGCAACATTATATTCAAAAGATTTGCTGCCATTTTGTGCAGCTCTATGTGGCTGTCAGTTTGTTGCCACTGTATTGCAGCTTTGAAACCACAACTCCAACAGAAGTTGTAAATTTATATGAAAGGAAATTGTTTACATCTGTTCGTGTTCTTGTGTTTTTTCGTTCTACTCTGTTTCTGCAAATGTAAAAATTATTCTGGGGAGGAAAGATATCCTTGTGCATAATCTGGAAATGGGTGGAATGAAGAAGATGTCGGGGGAATGGGAGATCCTTATCCTCAACTAAAGTTGTAGAAGATGTGGCAAAATGAGGCAAAGTTCAAAAATTTTGATGGTAAAAATGACAGCAATCTGCTTGCTGAATCAAATTAAATCACATATATTGATTATCCGAATTTGAACTCTCTGAATTTCAATGTTTTGAAATTGACAGGGTGCTGATGTGCTAAGCCTTACATGATATATATGCTTCAAGACTCAAAAGGGTATGACTTATTTAGTAATTCTAGGGATGCAATACTATCAGCATCAGCCAGAATGATAAGCCAAAATACCCTTGGAAGGGATTTCACACACAAGTTGATGATTTCAAGACTGTATTTAGCCATCCAATCAGCTGTGTAGCTGTCGGGCTCCACCTCCTAGTATTGGTAGTGCCAGTGATTTTCTTGATGATGTTCCTATTAGGGTGATGGCTGGTATTGTTAATGTTAAGTTCTAAAGCCAGAAGGAGAACAACGCATAGGTCCAAAGTTCAGCAAGATCAATGCTACAATTCTCAAGGAACATGCTAAAACCAGCCATCTAGTTACCATGGATCCAAGAGAAATCGTTGATGATGTCTCTCTTTTTTCTGAAAATGTCCGTCTCTGTATATTCTTCAAAGACTTTGTTCATGAAATTGTTGCACTCATCAGGGTCAGGCAAATCCCCAGCGGCCAATTCTTCAAGCAAACTTGCTGCCATAAGGTTAGAGAGTCCCTCAGCCAACATGGATAAAACATGGTGCCAATGATCAGGTAAACAAATAACAGCCATGACATCCATTAATGAC